AGTTGTTAATTTCTGTGTCATTTGGTCTCTTGTGAAGAGTTGTCTCATTGGCAGTCATACCACATCTTCTTATTTCTATAGCTAGCATAATGACTGCTTTGTTCTGCTTGATTTTTCAAAAAGGTACAGCGCACATAGTTCACGAGTGCACTAACACCAAAGAACACGTGGCATTTGGTTGAAACGTGTCTTTTTGTATTGTATCTCAGAATCTCTTGTTTATTATTTTTCTTCGTCTAATGTTATATATGTAATAAATATAACATAATCTTTAATTTGCATGCTCAGGTCTATAAAATATTGTTTATCGGCCTCAGCATAGAGTTTGCTTTTTTTTGTCTTGTCAAAGTAGTAAAGAACAAGTTTTGTCTATTGTCATGCACTGTACCTGTGCATTCATTTCCCGTTAAATCTTTGTCTTTTGGTTAATCTTGTCGTTTGGTTGCTGTGGCATTGACATTCTCGCCACACATCATTTAATTCCTATTCGTACTTTAAAACTGTTTAATGACATAATATAAAACGTACAAGTGTATTTAGCAAAAGAAGGGGAAAATAAATGTGAAACAAAACCTCTACGTGCAAAAGAAAGAAAAAATAACATAAAAGGAACTGTCAATAATATGACAGTTGTTTTCCATTCGTTTGATGTGTTTGTGCTTTTGATTTTGCCATTTGTTAATGGACTTTCCGTTTTGAATTTTTCTTGGAGTTCGGTATTTTTGTTATTTGACTTTTTTTTTAAATGGCAAAATCAAAAGCTCAAACATATCAAACGAATGGAAAACAACTGTCATATTCATGACTTGGTACAGGCATTTCCTTATGTAGAAAATGGTGGATTAAACCTGCTAAATATGCTAATACTTTAAGCAACACAATTATTTCATCTTTTCAAACAACTAAGGTTAAGCTATGATAGGAAAGGTTGACCACAGATAGTATGTTTTACTTGATATGCATTCTTTATTAATGCAGTACATATTTATCCCTATTTACCTGCCTCCTTATTTATTTCAGTGTTTTTGGATAAGAGTATTCAAACTTCCTATAATTGCAATAAAAGCGGTGCATTTCTGATTTGATGTTTGTCAAGCCGAAATTTTGCAGAATATTATTAAACAATTTTCCTAGACTAGATACTCTTTCTTGTTTTGGTCAAACTAAAGTTTTATTGACCATTTTTGTTTGTCAGTGAGAATCTAGACACGCCAAAGGAATAAATATGAAAACTGACTATATGCTTTCTGATAACGTAATAGTCCACGCTACTCCTCATTTTCATTGAGGATAAACTCTTTGTCAAAGAGCATACCGTTACCGAACCGTAGCTTATTCGATTTCCAAAAACATGTTTTTTTTAATTTTTATGTGGATTTACAGAAATTATATTTACCAGCTGTGAACATATAAATAGAATAACTACAACCCAGAGAAAACCCCCAAGTCTAAACGAAAAGAAATATAATGGTTTGTCTGCATATATATATATTTCAGATTTTCACCCATATTTAGGGGGGAATACTCTTTATTTTCCATATTCGGCTAGGAGAACGAGATATTTCAATAAACTACCTCTTTATGCACTACAGAGTAGTCAAACTCTCCTTTTCATCAGCATTTATTTGAATTTCATAAAACGAGAAACATCCATATCAAAACTGCATGACACCAAACATTCCAAATAAACAACCCCTAAAATGCATCTCTTTAATCTTTTAAGAGGTTGACAAATTTGTTTGCATTATTTGTTTTGTTTTGTTTTGTTTTGTTTTGTTTGTTTTGTTGCAGGCAATCCGCGATAATGAGTCGCTATTTAGTTGCAGAACTGCAAAATGTGACAGAAGCTAGATTGAAAATACTTGCAGTATCAGTTATCATAGAAAGTAGTAACGGTGACGATATGCCTGTTATTGGATTGTATTATATAAGGATGTTATCCAAAATCTAATAAAAATACCGTATCAAATCAGTCATATCAACGTAATGTAAATGTTTCCCTTCGTAGATATTTTATTTTGAAAACTGCTTGATGTTATTTTTAAAACAGATAGAATCAATATTCAAATGGTTTTAGCCGATTTTTGTTGCATATTCAGATAACACTTCATAACACGATAGTAAAAGTGAGGCGGAATATACCAAAGAGATATTCAAATTTATAACTCTAAGAAAAACTAACAAAGCCACGGCTAAAAAAAAAGTCCAAAATACAAACACCAGAGACTAAAAATTACAACATAGAAAAAGATTGACGAGTAAGCAGAATCTGCTCAACATATGGCACCGTTGTGTTGCTCCTATAAGTACAAATTCGGTGATAAATCTAATTCGGCGATGCCACATTCGAGCAAAAGATGACGGGATCGTGTTTACGACAATTGAAATATATTCGTCTGGTAAACAGATATTTCAAAACAACAAACTCATGGCGTCCGTTAAATTGTCAAAGGGATGACTTCGACTACGCCACTTAGACATCTTGATTCAATCCTTGTAAGCAGGGAAATGCAAGCTATGAAAGCAGGCTATTTGAATAAAGGATTTATCTCCCTCATGTGAAGCTCCTATTATTTGTCCGGATTTGGTAATTCTTTAGGTCCTTTTTAGCTCTCAATGTTTAAACAAGGTTTTGTATTTTAAACTATGTTATCACTGAAAAGACATAGATTGTTATGGCGTTCCTAAACTTTTCGAAAAGATTTTTTCAACTTCAGCACTTGGTTTGATAGCTTCTTTGTAAGCAAAAACGCTTTACGAAGAAAATCCAGATAGGAAATGCAAGCTCTGCAATATCGTATCAACTGGAAGATATATACTCCATGTGCAGGCGCAACTTTGATGTTGCTACATAACAATTGAGAGTTCACTATTGGAAAGCATCTCATTTATCATAAACGTTTTATCTCAACCAACCCGCATTGTCTATATCTAGATCTAAATCTAGATATGAGGTAGACTTTAATGTATCTTTTGTATCCTTTGTTTCAAGTTCGATTGGATAGATGCGTTCAACATAGTCACCAAATTTAAATTATTATGTTAGAGGACATCATGTGAAGTTAAAACATAGTGCTAGCTTCTTTTCATTCTGCTTAGGAGGCTCCAGAATGAAGTCTGCTTCATGTGAATAAAGGAAAAGTCGACAGGAAGAAGAGCACAATTGATTTCTAAGGGAATTTTAATTGTTTGTTGAAAAAAATGTAATCCAAACGTATCAAATGTGTAGTCAATCAAGAAATCAAGCATCTTGACAATGTCAGTTCCGGAGAATTTGGCGTTTGATCAGTGTTATTTTACAACGTATGATTTATCTCTCGCTATCACAAGATATAAGTATCTACGTTGTTCATTCGTTTTTATAAAACAAAGTAGGACCCATTATTTCAATTTATCTTTTAGTTTGGAAAAGGGAATACTTCTATCAAGGGTTGACAAGTCAAATGTGTTAATACTATTGCAAGAGGAAAGAGTCTTGGATTGTATGTTCTCTAACGGATCTTTGGTATTATTTTAGTGTCCACATCTGATTGACACCGCTTATAGATTAGGAATTTCTCAATAAATCTGAAACCCGTCTTTGATTGCTGATAAAGTGGATGTTAATAGTTTAGAAATATGTTTGATGGAGCACTGGGAAGACCTAGCAATATAACTTTGTTCGTAAGGACACCTGTGTAAATTTATAAGTATAACTAGTAGTTCAAAACCTATTTAAAATGTATGAAATTGTGAAAATGCAGTATATATATTAGTAATATTTAAACTTTAAAACGTTTTCATAAAGGGCAGCACACATCTTTATCTCGTAAACCATTGAAAGATATTGCATTTATGTGTGGTTCTTTTTTGGCGTTGTTGCTGTTGCTGTTGTTGACGTTGGATATGAAGCTAAATTGAAACATTGGAAATTACTCTTTTTGTGACTTCTACTACAGCTGCTGCTGCCCTTTTTTTTTCTTTTTTTTTCTTTTTTTTAATATTGTATGTTGTTTCACAGGGGATAGGGATTCGAATTCCCGGTTAGTGTTTTATATCCCCTGTACAGTCAAACTAAGGGGATCTAGGACACTGACAGTGAATATAACCCTTTATCCCCTGTGCCGTCAAACTAAGTAGATATAGGACACCGACAATCAAAATGAGTGTATATCCCCTTTGACACCAGAATAACAATCATACTCGTATTATACTGGAGTGTTCTGATGTTAACATTTACTACCATTCTGATCTTCGTTTTAGTTCACATGGGATATGAGAGCATACTCCTTGTCAGGGTGGACACTCCAGCAGCATCATTAGCCGGGATTTTTATCCCAATATAATTTATGTATATATATATTATATTCGGCTTAATCAAAGTATAAAGGGATTATCACTGGTCATCGATATGGTCATTTTCTGTATTGGTTTGTGATGCTCTTTGACTTCGTATGTGATTTGGTCTTCCAACTGTTCTGATTCGAGCTCCACAGATGAGTTTTCTGTAGACGAAAAACGAGAACGGCGTATCAAATTACTAGCCTAGTATGATTGATCTTTCTTTATCAGAAACCAGTATAAATATTAATATATAATGAACGATGACTTATTTTACATATCTGACGTTGAAAAGTTACTTTTGAATGTATCAGATTTTACAGCACCAAACTTCCCTCATTATTTTCTTCCGGGTTTGTCCTACAGACACTATGACATTAAAAAAGCAGTCAAACCGTAACGACATAACAATGGGTCGATTGAGGTATTCTTAAGTACATTTGTACTTGTTAATTAAATAAATAATCAGGATATAATTTTAATGTATTTTAGACCTAGGAAAAAAGTAAAAACCTACAAATACAGTCATTTGTAGTAGTGGGACATTTGGTGTTTTTTATGACGCGAAAGTTGTAGGTGGGCGTGGCGTAGGAACATCGTCATTCTGAATCATGACAATGATTGAAGTGTATATAAATAATATACAATAAAACATATCTATCTTTTGTTTTTGCTATACAATGGTGTTTTGGGATTATTTTATTCTATCTTCAATATGTATTTTTTACTCACTTGCTCAGGGGACAAACAATGAAGGTAACCAACACACTTCAATTTTATTTCTTTTTTTTTCTTTTCTTTCTTTTTTTTTTTCTTTTGTCATGTGGTTTTTGAGGTCATTTAGCTTCAGCGTATAAGTATAATTCATTTTCTTATATATGTATGTTACCATGTTTACGTTTTGGTTTATCTTTTGATTTGATTTTATCTCGTAAATGTTTATTTATTAAGTTTTTGAGTTTTTGTTGTTTTTTTTTTTTTGTACATATGTTTTTTCGTGTTATTTGTTTTAGAAAAATTTCAAGCAGCGTATTAGAGCCGATCCATCTTTTAGATTAATGTCATTTCTAAAAAAAATCTTGGTATCTTAGATAAATTTTTTTTCTTTCTCTCTTCTTTGCAATTGATTTAGCCATATCCTTCATTCAGATGCAGTTTAAAAACAAATATTTTACCAAATTATTTGTTTTCGCTTTAGCGAAAAATTATGTAACTTTTAAGATCGATTGACGTTTTTCCTCCTTTATTCAAAAGATCGGAATTATTACTTGGTATACAATTGTTTCAACAACTTCAATTTTTAAACTTATAACTGTTTTGAAATTATGTTTGTGGCTCCCTAAACTAGAGTTAGATGGTTTGGTTGCACTGTTTTGGTCTTTCTTGTATCAATTCGCAAAAGTGTTTATTTATTAGGTTTCCAGAACCGTTATGTCTCGAAAGTGCCTGGCGTAAGTTGTTCCAGAGTCACGTGACAATTTAGAATGAAAATAACACTTTATTAATTCCGTGCGTCCGAAGCTCTATTCACTTTCATCAAAACATTTGAAAGCCAAGAATGTACGAGACCAAAACACGTGACGAGCTATTATGACCGGAAGGGACCTAAAAATAGCAAAATTTATCTAAGGTCATATTTGCCCGAGGAAGTAGGAACTTTAGTTTCTTAATAATGTTTTATTCAGTCAACGGATGTTGTATTCTACGTGTTTCTTTTGTTGGGGGGGGGGGGGGGGGGGGTAAAAGGGGGGGGGGGGGTTGTGAATGGGGCCGGGTAATTATATATTCATACTGGTGTCAAATATTTTCAGAAAAGCTATGACAGAAATAAAGTATTTCTGAGCCATATTTCAGTAACTTAAGAAACTATTCAGTATTAATTCCTCTCATGTACATATGTCAATATAGTTTTTTTGTTGTTGGTTAAACATTGTCACATTAAGTCATTATAAACGTCATCGATGACAGATGATAATAGCACCTTAGATAAGACTATAATTGCTGTGTAATACTTGTATGTCAAATTAATGATTGCATATATTAAAATAGAAAACAAATATAAAGATAAGATGTATACCTCTTTTAAGGTATATATACGGGCGCAGATAATTTAAGCGAAAAATTTAAGACTACAGTAAAGGGGATATTTAAGCGCAGACATTATAGCCAATTTTAGCGCCGGATTATTTCGTTCACCTGTATTTTCGATAGCCAGTTTTAGCGAGAATTTACCTGGTTTAATAAAAATGAAAACAACACTTTATAAATGTCACGCAAACGATAAAGATAAGGAACAGTTTCTATCACAATTTTATGAACAGTGTTTTATAAGGAGTATACCAAGACCTATTACGTACTTTCAATGAGACGTAAAATTGACAATTACATGTATACATTTGAGTTAAATTGTTAGATTTTTAGTGCTGTATTTGTTTGGACATGAAATTTTTTATGTTGTACTCTCTGGATACTATTAGAATCTATTATTCTGTTATAAGTGGAATTTCCGTCGCTATAATGGGCATTGATAATTTCATTTTTCGCTAAAATGGGTAAAAAAAAACTGCCGCTAAAAATGGGCTATACTCAGCTAAAACGTACGATTTGCTATCTCCAAAATGTCTTATAAATGCGCCTCCGATATCTACAAAATAATAAAAAGGCAAGAATATAACATTGGTAACTACTGGATTTGTACTTAGACGAGCAACACGACTGGTACCACATGTGGAGCAGGATCTGCTAACTTTTTAGAGCACCTGAGATCACCCCGGTTTTTCGAGGGGTTCATATTGCTCAGTCTTTAATTTTCTATGTTGTGTTTTGTATACTGTTGTTTGTCTTTTTCTTTTTTATAGCCATGGTGTTGTCAGTTTATTTTCGACTTTTGAGTTTGAATGTCCCTTTGGTACCTTTCGCTTCTTTTCTTTAACAAAAAACGAACAATTGATAATCGACAATACCAAAACATTTCTGTTACTGTAGCGATGCAATTCTTAAAATTACAATTTAGACTATATGAAATTGTAAACATTCTTGGATGCCTCCTCTGATGCGTCATAAACGTGCAATAACAAAACAAAACTAAATAAAACGTCTCAAACTATTGCTTTGTCGTGTGATTTTGCATTTACATCACTTTTTTATATTCAATATCATTCTTGTTTTTTTAATACAATAAAGTTAACAATAAAGTCATCATGCATACCAGGATTAAAATTTTGTATGCAAGACGCGCGTTTCGTCTGCAAAAGACTCGTCATTGACGCTCGAATAAAAAAGGTAAAAATGCCTAAAAAAGTACAAATTTGACTTCTTATTCTTTTTCTAGTGTGATTTCTAAGTTTGTATGTATATTTTGGTGATTTATGTAAATTTTCTTGTCAAATTATGAATCAAAATTCACTAAAAAATGTTTTTCTTTTTAAAAAAAATTGTAGAAATGGTAGATATTGCTGCAATGGACACCAATAATACGGAACTTATAAAAGGAATGCCTGAAACTTTGCGTTTTACGCTTAATACAATGACCAATAGAACACCTATTGTTCTGAATTTGAAACGTAAGAAGTCGGTTAAAGAAAACAGTTTTGTGTTCGTTGTACGTCGGGATAAGAACGGGAAAATGGTACTTGTAAAGGAAAATATTCCAGTCAAACGAGTAAGTTGGCTTAAAAACTCGGCATGCTTGATGTCTTTTAGACGATCTATCTTTTTAGTTATTCAAATGACAGTTTAAGGTATATTAACCCTTTACATAAATTCAAAACAGGTAAATGTATATATGATGATTATGAAAAAAGTATACATATTTTGTGTTTGAATATTTCCATATTGCAGCCTTGTAAAAACTATTTCACATGAGTCAGCTTCATTCCAAATTTTGAATAATGAAGCTCTACTTTAATGGTCTCTTTGTAACAGAATGTTGGACTTTATCAAGATAAGAAAACCGGTGCAGCTTTTACAGTGCAATGTGAAGGATTAGAACATGGACGTTGCAATCCAGTATTGGTAAGTTGATACAAATATATTTGACGATAAAATTATTCATACTCTATACCTGCTTTCAAATAGTTATACAGACAATTAAAGCTTTTGTTTGTTGTAACAAAAAACGGGGTCAGCTTTATGTGCGTAGACTGCAAATTCAACAACACAAGACAACAAAAATGTAACCTTACGTATTTTATAAAATTTAATATAACAATCAAAAGGATATGCAAAGTATATATCAATGAGACATCGACCCAACAACACAAAACACAGACATGTATGTATGCCTTTGATTTCATGTTGTTTATTTGTCGATACTATACATTTCTAGTCTTTGCATGATGTCGATACGAGGATATATCGACATGAAAGAATTAGAATCATGTGCAAAACAGTGTAGCCGAGACCATTGATTGGCGCGCTAAAATATTCCATTGACTGGGTCAGATTAGGTGAACGTTCGTCTGTAACGCCCACAACTCACGACGTATTTATTATAAACATTTAAACTGTGGGGTCACCAAAGGATCTCAACGCCTAAATAAAATAATTCGAAAAACTAATCAGGAATAACCTTTATGTTTTGATTTATATTGAATACTTTAACGTTCTTTACTTGTGTAAAGTTATGCTTTGATAATCAATTTTTATGATATCGCACGTTCTTTCAGCAAAAAAGGATTTAACTGGCTTTAAAAGTTACAATGGATGTGTTGATTATTATCTTTTTTTCGGACGTCAAAGCGATTTAACAATTCCGGTTGTCCAATTATGTCATCTTTTAACTTTTATCTGGTCAAAATTTTATTTTAGAACGAATGCATGATCAACTTTAAAAAGTGTGCAAACACAAAACATATAGACGAAATATACTTCTTTCCTGTCTTTTTCGTACTTGCAAGTTATTAGACAGTAAAAAGGCTATTTGGATCAAGCCTTGTGAAATTTGCATTTACGTTTTTGAATAGGTAAAATGTATAGTTTGGTGAACTTTTCTGCTAACTACTATACTTGTGAAAAACCCTTGGCAACAGAAACATATTCAGCTTTTTTTTTAATCGACCCAATTTACATAGTAATGGACGACTTCGTACATTTTATGATCGCAAATAAAATATGTGTATAATATACTGTGCACTGTCGTTCGTATATATACTGAGACCCTTTGGCAACCCCACAGTTTAAATGTTTATAATAAATACGTCGTGAGTTGTGGGCGTTACAGACGAACGTTCACCTAATCTGACCCAGTCAATGGGATATTTTAGCGCGCCAATCAATGGTCTCGGCTACACTGTTTTGCACATGATTCTATATCGACTGAGGACGCAGCGCCATTTTCCAAAAATACTCCAAGATTGAAAAGAAACATGTTCTCTCAATATTTTTGTTTTTATATAACGATGAAATTTTCTGACAGTCTGAGAATATATTAAACCGAGTTTAAAACGTGAGATCCCTTTTTTATTTCTTATAGTTATAAGTTGATGGTAATGTTCTGTTTATTCCGTCTTTCCAAAAAAGTTAATTTATAAGTATGTTTGTTTGAAGTGAGGTTATTTCTTGTTTTTACTTTGTGGTTGATGTTAAATCTTTGGTAAACTACTTTTTGCACACTTCAGACTAGTCAGAGCTTCGCAATTTGTAAGGGCATTTTTTATAATTAAACTTCAACTGTCTTTTTAGTAGACTGTTGTCATTATATTGTGTATACAACATCTCCATTTTCTCCTTGCTATGACCATTTTCAGAGCATCAAGTATCATCAAAATAAATACTAATTATACGACCGTAGAGGCGTTTTTTTTTGTGCTTTTTTAAGAACATTTTGTGCAAAAAATTTAATAGAGCACGGACATTTTATAATGATAAGTGTCTTTTTCTTGCAAAATAAAGATAAATAAATATTTAAAAGCCAACACAAGAAATACTTTTCCCGCGACCACCAGTAGACTCACGGTCTACCATGAGCAGTGCTGATTCATTTGCATTTAAATTTATGTTGTTTTATATTAAAATCGACAATTTATAGAGCCATTTTATTTTATTTTTTTTTCTATTCTATTTGATTTTATTTCATCATTGTTAGTTTGGCAGTATACATATTGACAATGTAGAGTACGATTTATCGGAGATATCAACAGCAGATATGTCATCCACTACAACTGCAAGTCCAGTAGCGAGACGAAAGAGGCGTGCAAAAAAACAAAAAGACAAGCATAAAAAGAAACAAGACAAGAAAGAGAAAAAAGAACGAAAATGGAACGAAAAACAAAAGAAAAAGGAAGAAAAAAAGCAACGCAAAATGAAAAGAAGAATTTACAAACTCACCAAAAAAAATAAAAACAACTGGTTTGATGATGATTTAAAAATATTTGGTATGTACTTTATACATAATGTATTTAAGGTTCCTTATTAACTTTTAATCACGTACTAATTAGTTACTTATATTTTCTTACTTATCGAAGAAATTTATTAAACATTAAAGCACGTAGCATATCTTTCAGTCTTTCAGAGTTTGACTGATTTCTAATTGCATATCATAGGGAAACGATGATCTAAAATGCGTAAAGATGTATAGCCACTGAAATTAAAATACGATCGAATTCTCGTAAATAGTTCTGAAAAAAGAGTTAAATATATGAAAATTCAATTTGAATATAAGTCACCATGCTAATTTTCAAAAACTTTGATGTTGTTTTCGACGATTATAAATAATGATGAGCTAGTGAGATCTTTTTGTCTTTCTCAGACAACCATGTTACCAATAACATCATAAGAAAGGAGACCAGTCAACCACTTGGTAGAGCTATGCCATTAAGAATGACTGAAAACATTGTTGATATTTCGAAAGAGAAACTTCCGGTACTGGGACGTACAGTTGTATCTTCAAGTCGATCACGTGTAAATGTAGCAGCAGACGACACTTACAATGTAGAACTTCTTTTGGTGATTGATCATTCCATCTATATGAGGTAAACTTCATATCGAATTTGAATTTTGAGACCAGATTCTATAGATACTTCCTGCAAATACAAGCTAAACATATGATGAAACCTATACTTTCTTAATGTTGTGCGTCCGAGGCGCTTTCCTTGATTTGTCTTCGTCAGGAACGCTCACACCCAAACCTTTGAAAGCCAGGGGTGTAAAATGTGATTTGTTAAAATGTGTAGTTATCTGAGGATTTTTCAAGTAAAAAGTTTCCATAAAGTGTCCTTTAAATTTATATTCTCCCTCATTATATTGCGAGGTAACTGGTGATGACTTCATCTTTCTATTTTGTTTTAAATTTTTTCTCCTCACATTTCAGCAGAAAAGATTTACTTCTATTTTTACACAGCGTGGCTTTGAATCCTTTATTTGGTTTTAGCGAATCATATGCAACTTGATTGTAAGGTTTAAAAGGTCTCTTTAATGTTATATAGTTAAAAAAAAACTTTATTTTTTCTTATTTGCCTCTAGTAAATATATGCTTTTACATTGACATAGAATTATGTTCAAAGTATAATTTCAGAGAATATAATGCGATCAACGACCCTGGTGTTTTTAATAAAGATATGGAAGCAAAAGCGAGAATTCGACAATATTTTGGCCACACTGTGAATGGAGTAAGTAACTTATATATGTTATGATACTGCAGTAGAAAAATAGAGAAGGAAAATATCACAGAGATATTCATAAGCCGAAAACAAACTGACAATGCAATGACAAAATACAAAAAACGACAAGAATACAAACAAAAGTCTATAAAACACGAGAGATGCGAATAATACCAAAGGGATATTCAAACTCATAAGTCGAAGACAAACTGACAACAACTTCAATAAAACGAAAAACGACGAGAATACAAACAAAAGTCTATAAAACACGAGAGATGCGAATAATACCAAAGGGATATTCAAACTCATAAGTCAATGACAAACTGACAACACCTTAAAAAAACGAGAAACGACGAGAATACAAACAAAAGTCTATAAAACACGAGAGATGCGAATAATACCAAAGGGATATTCAAACTCATAAGTCAATGACAAACTGACAACACCTTAAAAAAACGAGAAACGACGAGAATACAAACAAAAGTCTATAAAACACGAGAGATACAAATAATACCAAAGGGATATTCAAACTCATAAGTCGAAGACAAACTGACAACACCTTCAAAAAAACGAAAAACGACCAGAATACAAACAAAAGTCTATAAAACACGAGAGATGCGAATAATACCAAAGGGATATTCAAACTCATAAGTCAATGACAAACTGACAACACCTTAAAAAAACGAGAAACGACGAGAATACAAACAAAAGTCTATAAAACACGAGAGATGCGAATAATACCAAAGGGATATTCAAACTCATAAGTCAATGACAAACTGACAACACCTTAAAAAAACGAGAAACGACGAGAATACAAACAAAAGTCTATAAAACACGAGAGATGCGAATAATACCAAAGGGATATTCAAACTCATAAGTCAATGACAAACTGACAACACCTTAAAAAAACGAGAAACGACGAGAATACAAACAAAAGTCTATAAAACACGAGAGATACAAATAATACCAAAGGGATATTCAAACTCATAAGTCGAAGACAAACTGACAACACCTTCAAAAAAACGAAAAACGACCAGAATACAAACAAAAGTCTATAAAACACGAGAGATGCGAATAATACCAAAGGGATATTCAAACTCATAAGTCAATGACAAACTGACAACACCTTAAAAAAACGAGAAACGACGAGAATACAAACAAAAGTCTATAAAACACGAGAGATGCGAATAATACCAAAGGGATATTCAAACTCATAAGTCAATGACAAACTGACAACACCTTAAAAAAACGAGAAACGACGAGAATACAAACAAAAGTCTATAAAACACGAGAGATGCGAATAATACCAAAGGGATATTCAAACTCATAAGTCAATGACAAACTGACAACACCTTAAAAAAACGAGAAACGACGAGAATACAAACAAAAGTCTATAAAACACGAGAGATACAAATAATACCAAAGGGATATTCAAACTCATAAGTCAATGACAAACTGACAACACCTTCAAAAAAACGAAAAACGACGAGAATACAAACAAAAGTCTATAAAACACGAGAGATGCGAATAATACCAAAGGGATATTCAAACTCATAAGTCAATGACAAACTGACAACACCTTAAAAAAACGAGAAACGACGAGAATACAAACAAAAGTCTATAAAACACGAGAGATGCGAATAATACCAAAGGGATATTCAAACTCATAAGTCAATGACAAACTGACAACACCTTAAAAAAACTAAAAACGACGAGAATACAAACAAAAGTCTATATAAAATACGAGAGATGCGAATAATACCAAAGGGATATTCAAACTCATAAGTCGAAGACAAACTGACAACACCTTAAAAAAACGAGAAACGACGAGAATACAAACAAAAGTCTATAAAACACGAGAGATGCGAATAATACCAAAGGGATATTCAAACTCATAAGTCGAAGACAAACTGACAACACCTTAAAAAAACGAGAAACGACGAGAATACAAACAACAGCCTATTAAACACAACACACATCAATAAAGACCGAGCTCCACGATCTCCGCTAAAACCTTTGGGGAACTTAGGTGCTTCGGAAGGGTTAGCAGGTCCTGTACCACATGTATTAATTTAACTTAAACTTGATTTATATGTTATGCAAACTTCATACGGACCTTTGCCTTTTTTATTTAATAAAATAAAAGTGTTATTACTATTTAATCCTATGGTCTTCATTTTCTATAAAGACTTGGTAGCAGGTGTTCAATTCTTACTTATGTAACTCTTTATTGAAAAGAAGCTGACCATACTCATTGTTTCTCGTGCATTTAAATAACTTTAAAATACATTGGAAAACCCCATTTTTTTAAAATTTAAAACATTACAAACGTACGACAACCATATGTCACTGAGTTAACTTGTATGTATTGTAAATAATGTAACGAATACATCAATGCAGTATATAAATTACCTATTAATGACAATCATTTTCTTTCCAGATAAATTTACGATATGACAACATTGAAACAAACAAGTTTCACATCAATGTGGCGGTGTCCGGATATATCATTGCTGATGTAAGAATAATTAATAGTGGTGATGTATACGGGGGTGTTTTCAAAATTATTCAAACATAAAGCGCTATTTGTAATGAAAACCAATCAGTGTTACCTTTTTAACACACCTATACGTAGTCTTGACAATTTATAGATTTGTCGTCATCGCTATCGAGGGCTACTTAGATACAACGTTTTGAAGATCAAATTGTAATCTCTGTCTATGTTTATTTTGGTACCCCTGTGTTATATTGATATTGTGTCTTATTGTCGATACCTCAACCTCCCCTTTTCATACGTTATGTATTTTAAAAGAAGACACTATATAAAGACAAAATTTGTATAGCTGATAATCTGAACATACCAATACGCTGACTCTACTGGTGTATCTCCTTGAATTAACATTTTTTTATAGTTTCGCGTTATTATTGTGAGAAATATAAAAGGGAAGATTGGTCAATATGAATTTTACAAAACCATAAATGAAATCCATTCTAATTAGTAAAAAGCTTAATGTTTTATTAACTAAACATAATCTAGGGAAACATTTTAACATTAAGTGTACAACCAAGAAGTTATTTTAAGCGTAGTTAGATTATTAAAGCGCTATAATGTGTTTATTCTCTTCACAGAAACCAGATATTGCTGTGTGGACAGCTAAACGATCAGCCGGTAACCCTAGAGATTTGGTCGACTCAGACGACGCGCTCGATCTGTTACGTTCTTGGAGAATGGAGGTATCACAGCTACCAGAGCATGACCATCTGATGTTGTTCACTGCGTATGTGTGGTTAATTTTTACCATTATTCTTTGTTCTTTCTTTTTTAGCACCCCTTTACTTTTGGCCCGTTTTTTTTTTTTTATCTCCATTCTATATTGTTGGCCCATTTTGCTCTAATTTTGGCCTATTATTCTCTACTCTGTTTACCCAGTCCAGACCTTCGTAAATGAACGTAACATACAATAAAAGTTTAAATTTGTATTTTTGTGTCAAAATTTCTTAATCTCAATATTGCTTTGTATTACAAACTATTATCAATTGAAATTTAAAGAAATATGTTAAATGCCAGTAGCCACCAAATCGAATATAACATCTAGACGTTCATAATTGCCATTGATGATCATTGATACCATGCAAAAATATTTCCCCTAATATTTATAAAAAAAATAATACTTTACTTGTTAGTTTTTTCTCAGAATCCAAGGAATCCGCCGTTGTAATAATCTTAATGTATTCAGTTATATTAATTCAGAATCAAAACACAACTATATCTTGTAACAACTATACCCTAGGCAGAATAACCATAGCTGTATTTGGCAAAACTTTTAGGAATTTCGGGTCCTCAATGCTCTTGAACTCCGTACTTTATTTGGCCATTTTAACTTTTTTTTATTCAGAACACATTTATATTCCTTTCTTCTCCTAAACCCCTAATCAGAAGTGTATGTAATTTTCTCAGAAATTTCACTATAAAATGCAAAAGATCATATCCTATTTTACTTTCGTTTCCAATTACTATTTGGGTTTCCCTTACCAAATCATTGTATTGCAATGGGCGGAATATCATTTTGTAAGTTTTGCTTACAGTTTCTCTTGTATAATCTTCGTATGATAGTTTGTCTTTTCAAATTAATCAGTTGGATTGTATTGTTCATTTACTCTTTGACGTATATCCCATTGTGTTATGATTTTTATAAAGTTTCTGGCTATGCTAAAGAATAATAAAAAAAAATGTATTTCATAAATATTTTTTTTTTTTACATTTTAGCTATGATCTGTACCGTTACAGAACCGCTGACAATAAAGTTACAGGTATGTGTTAGTTATATCTAATTTGTTTTCAAATAAACAAGAGACAATGGGGTGAATCATACAAAACGAAACTTAAAAACTTAACCCTTACACATTTAGAAGAGAATATAGTTACTTTTGGCATTAAAAGAACAATCCTTTTATGTTTTATGTTCCAGTCTTGATAGCAAATAAGAATTGACCTAACTTTCTTCTTGGGGCACTAATTGCAAGATGTTTTATCATTTTCATGTTTGCGTTTTAGTTCATACTTTAGTATTTTTGATGTTTTAATTTGCAAATATGTGCTGCAATTTTTGATTGAAAATGAAATTAAGTGACAAAAACATTTCTTGATAAAACATGATTGTGTGATATTAACGGTGTTTTTTTTTTATTAAAGTCAGTAAATATTTTAAATACGAACAAAATTAGATGTGATGTATACATCAATGAAACAGCTACCCAACAACTGAAATAACCAAAAGACATTGATAAAAATAAATGATTTCGAAACTTATTGATATTGAAATTGTGTAATACTCTTGTAAAATGCATTCCCTCCGATTTCATAAAAAAGGGAGCTAACCGTGACATCCGTAATTGTAGCTTTTTTATAGTTGTCGATGCATGGACCACTTATTGAATAAGAGCTGTATTAGAGTGGCGGAAGATAGTAAAGGGATACTCAAACACATTAGTCGAAGAAAAAATGACAACGACATGGCAAAAAAAAAGACGAAAAGATAAACAACCGTCTATAAAACACAACAAAGAAAACCAAAGACTGAGCAATGCTGTGAAGCTTGATTGTACATTGTAATGCAAAAGTTCCGTCATATACACCCAAGTGTATTTATACATCCTTCCCTATCCCAATTCTCGGCCCTGAACGCTCCTGGTGATTGTTAATCCCAAAATGTACATCTGTTCTATTCGCAGCAAAGTCGTCGATACGTTTTGCTTTTTTTCGAGTTTCTAATAATTAGTTTGTTTTTATCAATTTGCTATGGTCCTTCATTCTCAATAATAATGCATTTCTTTTGAAGGCCTGGCATCATTTAGAGCTATGTGTTCAGCAAGTAGTGTCTCAATAGTGGAGGACAATGGTGTTCATGGTAGCATTAGTACTGGTACCCATGAGTTGGCACACAGGTACACAAATTTTAGTATTTGCTTATAAATAAACTCATCATAGATACCAGGATTGATATTTTGTATATACAAATATTTTCATTCAATGTACGTTATACAGTTAATATTCGATTAACACTCATATCATTATAATAACTTGTGATAATTTAACGAACGTTTCATAATATTCCAATAACTTTATTTTAACGAGACATCGAATGTTGAATTTAAACCAAAAAACATTTAGTCTTATTCTTGTGCAGTTACTTATTTGGATAGAAATCAAAGCTGTAAATACTCATTGTATTACCATACCTATTTACAGTCTCGGAGCCAGACATGACGGAAGTGGAACAAATATTTGTTCATCTAGTTCTCAATACATCATGGCAGGAACAGGAGGAGTTGCAAGGAACGGAAATGAACTGAATCCATGGAAGTTTTCTCCTTGTTCAATTGACGAGCTTTACTCGTTCCTCTCTGGTCTGTAAGTAAATACTGCTTTAAATGGATTAAAAAAGTATGAGGTTGTTTAGGTCTTTTGTATTTTTATAACCGTTGTATTAATGCTCGCCATGTGCACTGCTCTGGCTGCCTTTTCAACAGTTTGGCTAAACGTTTATCAATAGTTAAGCTAACATTGATATAATATTCAACCTCTATTTTTTTCATTTAGATTTTAAATGCACTTTTGTTAGGATTTATGGTGTAGTTAACAGGATATTGTTCCGATTGTTTAATGAACCAATGCATATTTTTGTATGATTTGTGTTACGTAAGATTTACATAAATGTCGTGATATCTGCAATCGAACATCTTTCAACGTGATCTTTTTTGTGTAAGTTTGAAAAGAAGAAGAAAAACACCTACTAAATATGTCACAAGCCAAAACCGTATAGACAAGAATCACATGAAACTTAAACAACAAATTGATGTATCTCTACGTTTGTTTAACAAATATCAGCCTTCTTTGCCGATCGTGGAAGTTCTTTGTATCTTTACCGATTCAATTTGGTTAACGTTGAAATTACAATAGCCAAAAGAAACTAGTCCTATATCATTCGAACGGGTTTTTTTTAGAATTTGCATCACTAAATATTCATAAGAAACCAATATTTATTTTTTGCCTTCAGAGAGGAGTCGGCTTGTAATTTTGCAAATATTCTTTTTAACAATTATTCTTTCTTTCTATATTTGTTAAGTCTCTGAAATTTCTGCATATGCATGTGAAAATCCATGATCCCGTATTCCAGTGGTTGGTGTTTGTTTTACTTGTTTTTGTTCAATGTTATTAGCTTTATCAAAAACCTGAATTTTCCTTGTTGTATTGTTTCACATTTTGTTAATGGCAGTCTTTTAAAGATTACTATACGATATGAAGTTTGCACGTCGCTGAAGGCGTACGGCGTACGGTGACTTTACACTTTTGCCTCTTGGTCTTTAAGTTTTGTTGGATAGTTATTTAGCTCGATCCTTCTCCTCACTATTGTGTTCAATGCAGTTCAACAGTTTGATTTATAAGATTTTTCCAAGTATTTACATTTATAGTGGACCAGGCAGCTGTTTATCAGATGAAGCCCTGATTTATGATATGGACGAATTTAATCAAGTAACTCGCAATGAAATCGGACAGATTTATGATGCAAATGAACAATGTAGACAACGTGCTGGAAAGGACTCTTTTTATGGTTGGGTAAGTTTCTGTATTCACAAACAAAAACATACAAAATATACTTTTTTTATACTATTATGCCTGCATACTGTATTTCAAAGATAATAGTTTTGGGAACGTCGTCTTAATTTCTTACTATTTTGAATAAAAGGAGAAGTAGGGAATAAGTCAATGAAAAAACAACCAAGCGACATAGAAAAATCAAAATCAAAATACATATCTAGAGGCAGATACAAGTTTTGATTGAAATCTGAGCTTCAGACTTATTTATAATGAAAATGTCATGTTTAGGTATAGTGCATACTTCAATAAGAATCTGTTTACGTCTTCTACTTTAAGTAAAGTATTTTGAGTTGATTAACTTTAATACATTTAAAGCAATTTCCCTGAATGACTTGTTAAATAATTTCAATATCTTATAAAAGTAAGGGTTTGAACCGACCGCAATCAACAATATTATTGAATTAGAGCTGTATTAAAAAGGCGGAAGTTAGTAAAGGGATACTCAAACACATAAGTCTAAAAACAAATGACAACGACATGGCAAAAAGAAAGAAAAACGACGAAAAGACAATATGAGGTACGCCATCAGGAAATATTAAGATCTAAATATCATCTGCTGCCATAATATGTCATACCACTATTCATAAGAACTCATTACTTTGTTAAATTTAGGGTGCATATAGAAATAAGGATGCTAGCTATGATTAATGTATCGTATATAATTTAACATTATAAACTATATTTTAGGGTGGTGGTCTTGGAGAGTTCACAGATATTTGTACATCAATGGCATGTAAAAGTGATACATCAAAGAATAGTTATCTTATATATACAGCAGCTAGAGGAACTTCTTGTGGAAATCAGAAGGTATGTTTAACTAAGGAATTGCAGGAACAATATAATTAAAATATTGCATATATCGTATAATGTTATAAAATAGTATTTTATACATTTGTACATATAGCACTACAAACAACTTCTATTACCCCAAGTTTACGGTAGGGTTCGTCTTCAGTTTTCTATGTTGTATTTTGTGCACAGTTGTTTGTTTGTTGGTCTTTTTCTTTTTTAGCCATGGCGTTGTCAGTTTATTTTCGACTTATGAGTTTGAATGTATAACGCATACAATTTACGAACATCTTGCACTAATATCCGATTTTTATTTGAAATATTATCATTATAGACGTTGTAAAACATAAACATATTCATTTATTATTATTTTGTGATTTTAGTGGTGTTTAAATGGTTTGTGTGCAAGTGACCCGGATGCTCCAGAGAAGGATGGTAATAATTTTCTCAGCAATTGTATCTATTTAGTAATTACAATAATCATCAAAATATATCAATCTTTAATGTCACGACACAAAGACAACGTACTTTTATGTAAAAAAAAATTAATAATATACAATTTCAATGTTTACATATGCAATGTCGGTTAACATACAATTACATTTTTTTAACAAATAACTTAAAAACAAAGGTGTTTGTCGAGAATGAAGGCTTAGATACATTGGTGATAAAGAAGACGTTTAGAAAATTATAAAATAAAATTCAAAGTGTCTCAAAATATCAAAATATAGAATATTCTCCCATTTGTATTTACCCTGGCAAATGGGAATTGGTGTACTAGCAAGGTGCTTTACATTTGTGCGTGAAAATCACTACGTTTGCGCGCAGATTTTGAATACATTTGCGTGCAAATTTTTACAGGTAAACTCAGGTAAATACAGGTAGATTATACTTATTTATGTATTTAATTATTATTTTTGAGCAGGATAAATTCGTTTTATTATGAACAAGCACTTCGGCCTGGAAATATAAACAGACAAATAATCAACGTAAAAACATATCAAATTTCAAAGGTTAAAAGTACTGATTTTACAAGTCGTAACGTTCTGAAAATTCAAAGTCCACTGCTCTAACAAAACACAAAACACAAAAATTCTATTAGCACATGAATGTGCTGATTAAAACTGCTCATTGTATCGACCATGGAATGATTTCGGGCAATTTGTAGTACGCCTGGATTCTGCTGATGGTAGTGATGGCCAAAGACTTGGAGAAAATAAGTAATCTGCTGAAATATCTTTGCAATTATTTACGGTGCATAGCTATGAAATATCCTCTGACAAGTGTTCTGTCGATACGGAAAGTAAATCCATCACACACCAATGATTTTTTCCTCCGACTAGTTTCTGACAAACAAAACTCCATGTTTGTGCCTTGACGCAACTTTGTAAACTGACTTAAACAATACCAACGCGATCACTATTCGGTAAAATTAGGAAACCGAGTACAATCTAATCTGAAATATTCGCAATTAAGTTGTATGTATGTCTTAAGCTATTACGGGATTTCTCATAACCGCTTTATATTTTTTAGAACATATAATTTAAATTTACAAGTATGTTCAAAATTCATCATAACTAGAGTCATACTTATTATGAATTATCTTTATTTTACCCCTGTTACCTGTAAAACGAATGCGCGCAAATGTAATCAAAAGCTGCGCGCAAACGTAAATTTTTTAATCCCAAAATGGGCCCTACTAGCAGGGGCTCCTAAGCATGCATCCATGGTCTGCTTAGGGTTATTATACATCAGTTTATATATACTAAAATGTGTTAAAATAAACAAAAAACGAAAAACAAACGAAAAACACAAACATAAAAGTAGTCGGTGAAACACAATTAAAATAACATATATATATATATACATGTATGTGCATTGAGTGCACTAATAACATAAATTATGTTAAAATTTGCAAATCCGTAAATGACTTATGAATAGAATCCAATGTAAGTAATACAAAAAAGACCGCCAGATCTTTATTAACAAAATTTCTATGCATGCAGGTAATTTCCCCATAAGGATTTACATTTAGATATTTCACCAAAAAAATGAAAATGTGTTTTTATTTTGTGTGAATCATTTCGTTGTTTTGCGTCATATTCAATCAAGAATGCATGTATAGATTAAGTCTACAATATGTATAAAAGTATAAATTATAATTATCTAAGTGCTGTACATGTATTTTCAAGGTTTACAATTATTTCATGAAAAAGAATGATCTTATTTTCTAATCAAATGAAATTTGACATGCATTAACAAATTATGTCATAAAGAAAAGGAGGCTTCTAAACTTTTATGTACACGAATATTATTTAGAAATATTTAAAGTTGACGATTATCGTACTCACATTCAGAGCTCTACCAATCAACATACTGGATTTGGTGTTTCGAGCAACAAAAATTAAACTCAAATTTACAAAAATATTCCATTTTTTTAATGTATGTGTGTGTGTTATCAGATCATTTATATTTCATTGATATACAACTGCTTTAAAATATTTCTATTTCTTCTAGAAAAGTGTGTTCACGGAGACTCGCAAAAATTGTTTGATGGACAAACATGTCCCCAGTTGATAAGTGATGATCCCAGTAAATGTTACGAGAAATATTACAAAGAATTTTGTTGTCAGACCTGTAAAAATATTGCTAAGCCAATACCAGGTTTGTATTTTGTGATTAGTCTACACTGATCAATGGGTTTTTACACACGATTCTTAATATCATTTGTCATTTTACGTTCATAACCTACGTGGTTATATAGTTCCTTGTACCATTTTTTTCAGAACTTAATTCTTTTTATAGTCAAAGCTAGGCTATGGAATGAAATTTGTGTTTTGTTGTCCTCACCACCACAACTTGCATGTTTGAATTATTATGAAATGTTTATTTTGGATTTTCGCTGTTCGATTTCAAAATAACAAGCTTTTTATAACAGTCTTTTAAAGCTTGTTATTTGGCCTTTTATGACAGATTAAAATGTGAAACAATGACACATAAATTTTAATTGAGCTTTGGAAAAGTTTGTGCGTGCGTGCAGTACAGATACTCATTATATCATATTCATTTCATTGATAATAATCATCATTATATCATATTCATTTCATTGATAATAATCATAACTGTTGGTTTCAGGTTGTGAGTATGGAGATAAGAATAGCTTTTGTTCGACTACATCTAAGCGGCCACATTTATGCTACAGTCAAAGGAATTCCGAGATTTGCTGTGATAGCTGCCAGTCATTAAACACGGGTTACCAAGGTAATCTATATAGTAATAATAAAGAGTAAAACCAGAAATTCTGTAACTTCATTATTGTTCAATATGATTAGTTTATGGACAATGGTGAATCTACCTCGTGTAAATTGTCTGTAAAAAGCATGATTATTAAGTGTATCATTTTGTCTCTTTGCTAGAAGGAACTGATCAGGTTTTTGTGAAAAGAGAACGTAAGTTCGTACTTTCAATTCACTACAACGGTGACTAAATGTGGCTCATCAACTCAGCCACCGTCTTGCAGCATTTGTTGTTCCAAACCTTGCTGAATAAATATTATCCCAGACACCCCAATAGTAACTGATAAAATATTTACTTATAATGCGACTTGTGAAAACTATAACTCCCTATTACACATTTATAAAATAATCTTACATTTATTATCATGTTAAACCCAATTCAACATACCTTTCAACGATCGGATGCAAGATTAAATGAATGAATATGAAAGAAATAAACAAAAACTTTTCGATTTCCGAGGTGTTGGAAAGCAAAAAATGTCAAACATAAAAACGAAAGGACCAAAAGAGTTAGGGCTAGTTTCATCTTTAGGCATGGGCTACGGTTAGTGTAGTACAAATATATATAATGGGTTGTGACCCCTGTAGTAATATATGGTCCAATTTTTTTTATCGTCATTCACTTAACTACATGTTCTCTCGTCTCACATCTTTGTTTACATTTCTATTGCCAGGGGAAAATGGAAGTAGTTCACTCATCTAAAATATTTTTTTCAGGATGTGAATATGGAGATAAGGTTCATGAGGTACTTGGAGGAACATGTTACAAATGGAGATGTTCAGGAAACCCAGATTATCAGAAGTCCTGTTGTCAAACCTGTGGTATTATCCCAGACACCCCAATAGTTCCTAAAACGACACAGAAACCAAAAATTGTCCCAGCAACAACAAAACAGCCAATACAACCTGTGCGACCTCGACCGGTGATAACAACAAAAGCGCCGACTGTACGGCCCAGACCTCCTATAAAAACACGACCTCCACCGACAACAAATATTACTCCATCTGGAGAGTTGTGTGTTAGATCTGATGGCGTATTTAGATCTATGACATGTAGTGTGGTGGCTAAATGGATTTCCGATATATGTCAGGTTTCTGTATTACAAGATGCTTGTTGCGAACCATGTGCAACTAGAACTATAGGTTAGTTTTGGATATAGTTTGAATTCATATTTCCTATCACTTACCATTCAAACCGCAGTAACTTGAAAGGTAATTGTTATAGCTTTGATTAAAATTTCAAATATTGACTCCTTAGTAGAAAGAAGCATTATCATCATTTTAATTATTCTAATGCTTTGCAATAATTTAGAATAATAAATACATTTCGTACATAAATTATGCCCGACTTTCTAATATAGACGGCATAAGACATTTTTAATTTCTATGAGTTAGTGAAGACTGTAATAAATTTCAATGTTCCTTTCATTTTACAGCTAGTGCTTGCCAGGACACCGACACTTGTTCTAATGTGAAAGCTATAAACTGCTACGATAATTTTGTAAGGGAAAGATGTTGTGCCACTTGTAAATCATTTGAAACTGGAGATGAAGGTAAAAAAATTTTAATAAAAGGATTTAAAAAAAAAGAATTAAGTTTGTACAACGATTGTTGAATAAGTCTCATAAATTAATTAGCTAGGCAATATGTAAATTTGTAAAATCTCGATTAAAGTTCATCAAGAGCGCTCAAAGTTTTAGTAGCTATAAAGAATGTCATGTATGGACCTGTGACCTATGTTTATGGTAATTTACAATGTATAATTTTATTTCAATTCCTATGCGTAATGCTCAAATTGTTGGACTATCTGCTGTTTTGTTTTAGTGTTTTCAAGTTAAGGGTTTCTCTGTAGTTACAACAATAATTGCGTCCATGATATAAAATGGGCTAAATTAAAACTCACTCAAAACAAATAACATTTCTTTACAAAAGTTTGCTATTTTCTAGTAAAACTATAAAAAATATTCGTGCACCACAATATGTACGTACACCCTATACTCCATTACAGATAAGACAAACGTTTTTTTTTCATATCATAATTTTACATTCTATTTACAGGCTGTATGTACGGTGATAAATCTAGTAGCTGTACGAGATATGTCTTTTTATGGCCAGACTATATATGTTCCAAACATCCAGATAAATGTTGTAGTTCGTGTAAAAATAGATCATCCCGTAGGTCAACGGTAACTATACTGTCAAGGAGAATGGAAAACAGTATTGCAAACGTCTTGGACAGTCCTCCAACCAAAAGTCCATTTGTTACATCAATCGACAGTAATAATAACATTGATGCTTCAGTAGGTTTAACTGACCAACCTACAAGAGGTGACCAAATACCTATCAAAAAGGAAAAAAAGAAGAATGACAAAGGAAAGAATAAAAAATGGCGTAAGAAAGACAATAGAAAGAATAAAAAATGGCATAAGAAAGATAAAAAGAAACACGAAAAAAAGCATGATAAAATAAAAAATAAAAAAGGTAAAGATAAAGTGTGAAAAGGTGCAAAAGTTCTACAATTTTCAAATTCATTAGAATTTCCTTTAGATTGCTTATCATTCAGCTTCACATTCATATCTTTAGTACTTTTATATGTTTTACATAAAATAAAATCATAATGCTTTTCATGCTAGTTCTGTTTAGTGGAGCTTTCTTTTTATACATTTTATTCCATGATGTAGTTGTGACGTATATCATGTATTCATCGTTATCATTTAATTAACTGCATTGCTGCGCTTAGCTACGCATATTATCATAAACTACAAAGTAACCACACACCCTGTATGGCAATCTCGAATGAAGATTGTACTATTTCGGCTATATGCATACGGGTAAATGCATTGGTTTGTCTTTTGAAAACACCCTATGCAGTAGACAACACGTCTGTACTTGGATGGTTTTAAAAATACCGAATCCATTTCATCCCGGCTATTTTGATAAAGACTTTCACTCTTAACTGTAGTAACATTCCAGAAGCGCCTGCATACTCGCAATTGATAAGATATTTCAGAGCTTGTATTTCCTATATCTTGAAGTCCTTGATAGAGGGTTGCCGCTTACAAGGAAGCTTTTAAACCAAGGGTTCCAAAGGGTGAAGTTGAAGTCATCCCTTCGGAAAATTTACAGGCGCATTCTCGAGATGGTTGACCGTTATGGAATTATCTGTTTAACAGATGACGATGGATATGTTTCAATTGTCGTAACCACAATCCCGTCCTCTTTTCCTCGAACATGACTTCATCGAGTTTGTACATAAATATGAACAACATGGCGAGATTTATTGTGGCGTTTCGGATCCGATTCCAATTCACAATATCGTTTCATTTCATAAGCGTCTCATTCCTTTCAACTCTTGTTTACTGTAGTCCAGTTCTGCATGAACTCTTCTGCAAAAATGAAGGACTTCACAAATAGACAGTGCACATGCATGTAACTCAATATGGAAATTACAAGTTAAAATAGGTTGTAACCATGTGCACCCATTCATAATGCAAAGATCAGATGTCGATAATTTTATTGTAAATACCTGCCATTTAGGCCTACTATAGTTTTTATCGGATTAACAACTATATATTGCAACACTTAACAAGTTTGAAGTGAAAAGAAAACTATTAACAAGGCTATAACAAAATAATGAACTTATGTAACCTATAAACCATAGTAAATAATAATTTGAGTTTGGATATATTAAATCTACAATATCTGTCAAAATTGTTAGTCGTATATTAAGATTATTAACAAAAAGACCTTTCCAATATATCAGTGCACCGTATCAATATAATCCAGAGAGCTCTTAATGTTTAAGAGTTGATACGGTCAATAATATTGGAAAAGCCATTATTTGTATTACATATACACTTTACTTGTATTTGCTACTAAGTGTATAATAAATATGAATTACAATATTGTGATAATTAAAAAGAGTATTTGTAATTACTATTATACTTTTTATGCAGAAAATGAAAATGACAATTTCAAAGACAAGCACAATGATAAGAAAAAAGGAAAAGGAAAAGGTAAAGGTAAACATAGAAAGCATTGGCATAGAAAAGGCGGTAAATGGAGACACTATCATGGTTGATGTGACATTTGTGTTTAGTGTGGACGTTCAACAAATAACATGTCATTGTTGTGTAATGATATTAACGTTTGATGGTAGTACTGTTAGTTGTGTGTAGCATGGGGCTAGTGGTTGTATAATAATATAGATTTGTTTAGCGTCATTAAAACGTGTGCCATAAATAAAATAATATTCATTGTTTAGTTTGTTCTATTACAATATGACCCAGTATTTAGTCTTCTCTCTTAGATTGTTATGTAAGCTTCCTAACTTACCTTGGCAGTTATTCTCGGTCTATATAATCGGATACTCGCTGGTGGCGATGTAGACGACTGTTCCGTTAGCTCTTTTGGATATCAATGTCACATTCGGAACGAGGCTCCCTTTCTTCCGGGTCTCACTCCTCCGGCAGTGGAGCATCATCGACCTGACCCAGAGGTTCTACACTCCCCCCAACTTTATAAAAGAGGAGTGAATCAGGGGGTCAGGAGGGTTATACCCCGGTGGTGGGTGGATTATAGTGGGGGAAAACAGGGGTTAGACAATAAGGGGACCCCTTTGGTTTCAAAAACAGTGGAACTCCCCAGAGACATAAGGACAATGGGAACCCCCTAGACCAGACTATCATTACCCCTAGCCACTGGACGTTAAGCAACCAACAATCAATCAATCAATCATTACCCCTATACACAAAGCTAAAAATTAGAATCTAAAGCCAACGGGCTTATTAACGTAACTCAAGAACCAATTCATTATAGCCAACGGGCTTCTATATATATATATATACAATAGCTGTGATCCCCTTCTTACATTTACGGATGAGGCCGGCCTACAGGACCCCATCCACCCCATAGAGACGACCCCCATTCAAATATGCCAGCCGCAACAATTCCCTAGGAGACTCCGCCCTCACTTCTCCTACTGCCTTGGCCACCTCATACAAGTGATGAGGGTGTCCATGCCTTACCCTTGGCTGGGGGGGAGTTAGGGGCATCACTCTCCAAAAGGATACGCTGCGGCGGCACTATCCTCAGGGCGTCCCTCTGCACCGGGCTGAAGGAGTGGACTCCCAGGCCAAACCCAAAGTAGGCATTACAGTAGGTTTGCTACCACTCCTTCACCTGGTTGATCTCCCCTGGAAACAGTGAAGGTGGATCAACTGAACCGGGTTGATCACCACACCTGCCATAACCTTCAATACCTCTCGATGTGCCCTGGCGTGAACCGGGTCCGCCCTGCCATCCCGTATGTGCAAGACCACTGGCTGGTCGAAGCGACAGGACAGGAGGGCCCACTTTAAGGAAGGGAGCTGGCGGGCATGGGGTGGGTCACCAGCGTGTGAAACCGATGTTCCACAGCATCCTGAAACTGGCCGGCACTCTGTGGGTGGATCCCCACCGCCCCGACCCCTCCCGGTTCCAGCCTAAGTGGCAAACTGGGCAAAGTCTTCGGATCACAGAAGACGCTGGAGCTGAGGTTTCACTTCCCCCCGAATGGCTCGGCGCTGACCAACCTGAAGGAGAGCCATCAACTCTACCTTAGCCCGCCAATGCATGAGGACTGCAGGAGAGTTGATTGGCGACAGAGAAAAGGTCCGGGGGACCTCCCACTGCGCCAATCTACACACCACTGCCATGGCTCCCCATTCAGCGCCCAATTCCTCCTTGGGTATCCCCGCAGTCTCCAGCTTCACAATCACCCAACGGATGGGGTCCCCCACAGCTCCCCCTCCTAGGGCTCTGAACAACGTATTGAGGGAGGTGAGGCGGACCCTCGCCAACCCGGGATCCGACACACTCAGGTCCCTAAACACCTCCGCCACGTGTTCAGCAAGGATGTGCCCCTCTGTCCAGGCTTCACAGCCGGAAACTGGACATGAGAGTCCAATCCCAACTGATCCACCCTGCCCCACAGAGCAAGGTGTTTCCACCTCATCGAGGGCTGGGCCTCCAGGTCGGTCCTGACATACCCTATCCTGATCACGGGCCTTTCCCCACCACCCGGGAACGAGACTGTCTGCACTTTGCCTGCTACTTGAGGTGGGGATCTGGCCTCTGCCCTCTCCTGCCTCTTGGCCACCCGCTTCCTGCTTTTTTTTCTTTTTCTTTTCCCCCACCTTCTCTCTCAGCCTCTCCCAAGGTGGCTTTCCCCTCGGACCCTCCTACCAGCTCCCCTCCTTCTTCCCCTGTGGGTGCTCTGGACCCCATCCCCACCTACCTCTGTTGGGGCCCTTGGTTCCCCAGCACCTCTGGGTCCTCCAGTCCCTGCAGCTCTTCCTCCGGTACTGTGACCACAAACTCCTCCTCAATATGTGAGGTTTTGGTCATCCTGCAGCTGTTGGGATGGCGGGCTGCCATCCCCCTGTGCCTCTGTTTCTGTTCCTGTTTCTTTCTGTTATTTTTCTTTGTCCCCTGCGTTTTCCATCTGAAAGAAACCCCCTTTAGAGTGCAGGGTTACCATGTGTTCATTACCTCGTTCGGTTTTGGGGAGGGGGCCCACGAAGTCCAAATGAACCCTTTCCATTGGTGCCCCTGCATGATGTTTTACCATGGGATGTCGGTTGGAACGTGTCGCACTACACAGGGCGCAACTCAATACATACTTTTCGATGTCTCTCTTCATCCCCCTCCAGTAATACTGCTATTTGATCCTTTGATATGTTCGCCCCCCCCCCCTTGATGGCCAGCTGCAGGAACATCATGACACAGTCCCATAAGCTTTTGTCGCATTTTTTGTGGGATAACCACCCTTTTTGAACCACTCGTCGGACTCTCTTTGAACAGGACGTTATTCTCCCCCAAGACAAATAATTCCTTGTTCAAACAATAACATTTAGTAGCAGGGCTGCTCAAGAAAAGTTCCGCCTCAGAGGGTTCTTTCTTTGTCTTCCTCCATTGAACCACCAATTTTAATTCCAGGTCCGTACTTTGATTCCCCAACAATTCCTCCCGACTGGCTCCCAAGTTAACCCCAGCGTCTTCCCCTATTTCCTGCACCCAGATATCACCCTCACCCTCGGTCCATATGACTAACTCGTCCCCTATTCTAGACACAGATACCCGGGATATCTGTACCACCTGCTCCGGTGCGCCTCTGGTTTGTTTAACACTGGCTGATTTTTTCGCCAATGATATCGTATCATCGACATTGACTGTGAACTGCCCCCAATTTTGTTGGGCTCTGGTACAGTAAGTACACCCCCACAGGGCAAATTGGCTAGACCCAGCTCTACTCGGAACTCGGGACAAGGGCCCTCCTGGGGCAAGCGGAACAAGGCGTCAGCATTGGGATGTTTAGCCCCAGGTCGATGTTTGATTTCCATGTCAAATTGACTGATTTCTTCCAGCCATCTTGCTAATTGTTCCTGAGGTTCCTTAAATATGGTCAGCCATGTGAGGCTGTTGTGGTCGGTTCGAACCACAAACCGCCGGCCCAGCAAGTTGTGTCTGAATAGCCTAGTGAACCTGACAATGGCCAATAGCTCCTTCCGGATGGTACAATATTTTTGTTGTTCTGGAGTGACAGTAAAGCTAGCATAGGAAATGACTCGTTCCTGCCCCCCTTGGACTTGCAATAGTTCTGCCCCAATGGCCTTATCAGAGGCATCAGTGTCCAATATAAAAGGGACTGTTGCATTGGCCAATGATAGAACAGGCGCTGAAACCATAGCCTCCCTAAGTTTGTCAAAGGACTCGTGTTGCTCTTCCCCCAGGAATAAGGACGCTTTCCGGTCAAGGCTTGAAGCGGTAATGTTAGGTTCGTATAACCCTTAATGAACGCCCTGTGATAATTTGCAAAAGAGTTTCGGGGTACCGGCCAGTTCTTTACATCTTTTACATATCCTGGGCCTATTTCCATATCCTCCGGACCCACAACCCTTCCTTCCAAAAAATTCCACTTTTCTTCTAAACAGGTCGCACTTCCAGCTTCGAGTACCACACATTACCTGCCCTTCTACTAAGGGTAAAGGGAAAACATCGCGGGAACAGGCCCTGTTGACTTTTCTATAGTCCACACACCACCGCACGCTGCCATCCCTCTTACGTATCTGATATGGACGTTTGGATTACCCCAGACTTTAATATTTTTTCCAACTGAGCCTCTTTGCTCAATATTGTTTGTGCCGGATCCACGTTAATTTGAGAGTAAGGACCTGGTTGTACTTTATCGGTCCCAGAAGGAGGGGATCTCTCGACCCCTGGTTCTTGTGGAGAGGGTTTTTCGACCAGTATGCCCTGTATCGGCAGTTGCTGCAAATCAGTGGTCTGTTTGAAAGAAGACCCCCCTGATAGAACAAATGGGTCCCCATGGGCCATCCCTATTTGACTTATTGTACCCTCCCTATCTAAGTATGAGGGACTCTGGCTTATTTTGAGGTCCTTTATACTTTTTGGTATAGGGGCCGGACTCAGACCTCTTGAGTCGACCCGTTGGAGTTTAACGGACCCTTGGTGTCCTGGAAAGTTACTTGCTTGCCCCCTGGTTTAGAAGAACTAGACCTCATGTATTTAGGGCACTCCCTTTTAAAACGGCCTACCTCCCCACAGTTGAAACAGCCACCATTGGAGGGCCTGGGAGAGAGACTTCGCGATGCGGGCCGGACATTGTTCCTGACTGCAAAGGATAACTTTTGGATCTCCGACATGAGATTCCCCAGGGTTCCCTGTACCTCCCCTTTGAAAGCGCTAAACTGATTTTGCAACTCCCGGACGTATTTAGGGGAAGTAGACCCATTGGCTTCGGACTTGGTGGTGGAGCATACTGTATAATTTTTAACACCCTTGCCTCTGGTATCAGGGCTCACACTCTTTACCTCTTTTCTTGCGGCGCGGCCATATATTGCTTGGTGGTTATGCTGATGCCACCTTACTTTATCAACGGCTTCCTCAATACTTTTGGGCTTAGCATTTGAGGCCAACATCCCCCTTCCTTGTCTGCGGCCCCCTGGCACAACCTCATGACCGCCTGTTGGTACGTGTGATCCTCGGGCAAGTGGCGAAAGGCTTTTGTGGCGAGGGATAAGACTCTGTCGACCCATTCCTCCAGGGTTTTGTCCCCCCTTGCCTTGCAATGCTAAATTGAACCTGAGCTGTTTCTGGCAACTAATTAAACCCAAACCGTTTGGCCAATTTACTCACTTGGTCCTCATGGGACAAATCATGCCTCCTTTCTACAAACAAGGCATAAAACTCACTGGGCTTTC